TGTGTGAGCCTGCTGCCACACAAAATATTCTGCAGAGTAATAACAGTGCTTCTAACTTTCTTAGTGAACACAGAAATGAGCAGGGAGCTGTGTGTGTGCGTGCGCGCGTGTGTGCGTGCGCGCACAGGGGGTACGGGCTGACAGGCTTATGTGGGTGTTTGACATTTCTAAAGGCGAGCAGAGGAAATGCAGCCACAAAGTTCTCTTCTATTGAATTTGTCTCATTGTGGTCGCTGCCTACAGAGCGCCATCCCAGTCTCATACTCACACTCGTCCCGTTTCTCTGCCGACTCAAACAAATGAGGGTGAGAACAACTCAGAGCTCTGTTCACCTTCCACGGCGTTAATGCTGCATCGTTTAGGTATTCTTTGCACAGTAAAAATCTATATTTAAATTAGCTCCTATCAAGCCAAATAAAGAACGATGATAAGCGGAGGGCGTTTCTGAAGCATCAGAGTAAAATCTTTGTCAAGCACATTCTCTGATCTCTGTAACGCTGGAAAGAAGAGAAAGGCACATACTGACAGACTTGTGTCACGTCATACAGTAATTTTTAGCAGCAGAGAGGCAGAATCAGAAAGTCAAGCACACATTTTTAAATCAGAATATTGTGAGTTCTCTTTCAAATATTCACTTCGGTGTCTCACTACGGGGAGCACTCTCTCAGCATCGTCCTCTGAAGCTTCTACATCATTGCTCCAACCAGGATCGGCTGGCAGTCGTGATGCTTGTGTCACAGAGGGGCCACCCTCCTTCCTTCTTAGAAACCCCGTCTCTCCTGACTGCTAACCTGAGAGCTAGCTTGGTCCACTCGAGCAAGCTAACACCTTGGTCATCGGGCGCTAGCGTGGCTCACATTGTCAGTCGCCTGCTCTTCACCATAGAGCCAGGTTGGAGAGTATGTTAGCTGCCACCACACACCTACCGCTAGAGCTGGGCCATATCATACTGTTCACAGTAACACTGGTATAATGTTGGGCAACGATAAGAAAATGAGATATCACGATAGAATAGTGATGTGTCGGTCGCGAACGAAATGGCTCTTAGAGCCGGCTCCTTATCGCAAGCCATGGGGTTCTCTCTCTCTCTCACTTTTTTCCCGCTTCACTCTGCACGCGAGCCTTGTGCTTTGGGCTGAGCAGAGGGGGGAGGGGCGGTAGTTACACTCGCAGTAGCACAGGAACAGAGCGGGAGGGAGGGAGAAAGACAGAGAGCCAGAGACAACATCGTCACATTAGAAAGGTATAGTAATCATCCACAACTATTTTCAGTTGC